TAGAATAATATAATAGAAGTGACAGTCAAACGGCTGATCGATTTGTTTTCATTTTGCCGGAGGTTCGGCATGAAGTTGGCAGTGGAGGCTCAGCATGATGTTGTAACCATATTGAAATTTAAAATCTGTAGCATGTTCCGACTGTTATCACTTTTTTCTGTGATATTGATAATTTAAATTTTTTTAAATTAAGCAATACAGTTACAACATCATATCGGTCACCCGCTGCCAACATCGTGCCGGGCGTCACAGTTTTCGGCCAGTGTCACTTTTCGGCCAGCACAGTTTTCTTTAAAATTTACAATTTTGACAACTTATATGAGTTATGATTGTATCAAAAAATATGATTTAAAAAAAAAATATTACATAATACTTTGTAAAAAAATAATAAAATAAAATGTTATAATATAATACATCAGTCGAATAAAAATATAATAATAATTAAATATGCACAAAAATTAATTTTTATTTAACAAATGTAATAATTTGTTCAGTTGTTAAAATTGTAAATTTTAAAAAAAACTGTGCTGGCCGAAAAGGAACAGTGGCCGAAAAGTAAACGGTAAGTTTTGGCCGAAAAGTGACACTGGCCGAAAAGGGAAGGGTACATTTTGGCCGAAAAGGGGGCCGCCCATCATGCCGAGCCTCCAGCTTAAGGTCAACGGAAATATTTTCCGGTGATCAATGGGATTTTGATAACTGTCGCTTTTATTATATTATTTATATTCTATGGATATAGTTAGCTATTTTAATTGATAATAATCGAAAGGTTTTTGGACGTCCACTTTCCTTATCCCATCTTTTATTATTAATTAAAGCATATATTTATTGCGATTGTTTGGGATCGTGAGTATGGATTTATAAAAGTAATTTATGTTAAGTTAGTGATACACCCGAGTCTGCGTGTATTTATTAATTTGTTGATGATGATAGTTTTTTTGTTGATTTTGTGTGAATATATAAATATGTTAATATTATCTTTTACCTGGTTGACGTTGTTTGATCTGAATTCATTATTCATTGTTATTTAGAATGGAAATAATATTAACACAAATTCACTATAAAAGAAAATTGTTAAGATAATAATAAGAAGGTGTGTGTGACGTTTTTGGGTAGTATTGTTCATACTATATGTTCGACTGATCTGATCATCAAAATGGGGGTTCTACTTATAGTATTTGATGTCTTGTTGTTCCATATTAAATTGTTTTTGTTAATTTTGCACATGTACATGGATATATAATCAAGAAATGTTTTTATAACATTAATGATATTTTATTACATGTATAATATATATATATATATATATATATATATTACTTATTAACAGTTTTTTGTACATTTTACAATTATTATCAAGTAATCACCGTTAGCCAGAGTTTACGTATTAAATCTTTCAGGTAGCTCTGAAGTAGACTCGGAAGAGTTAAAAATCGGCCACCCTTCCTAACTACCTAGCTATATAATAATATTATTAACATATATCTTAATAATTTTAAAGGCATCACCACGTGCCATTTAGTCTATTGAAAATTGTTAAGGCTATATAATATGTAATATTATATTATACAAAATATTTACCATCTCTCTGTTTTATTCRAGACAAATTTATAGTTGACATGTTTTAGGTTCACCAGCAGTGGCATCACAAAATTCTACCACACGGCACTCGTTACAATATAACAATAATGTATTGTCATTTATTAGTACCTATTACATTTTAAAGATAAAATCTATAAAAAATATTTATCTCGAAAGATCATTTATCCACCTGATGATAATGACAGCTCGTAAATTCGCAGGAAAACGCACCAAATATGTTTGTTCAGTGTATTAAAAATTTTAACTATATAGATTATTACAGATAGAAAATAGTTGGAAAATAATAAATTATAGGAAGCAATAAAATTCAAATTTATATAAATGTTTAGAATCGGTGCACGCCGTTGATGATTTGGTCAAACACCGAGATCCACCATTAAACAAAGTACATTTTTTAAACGACAAATATAAGATCTACAATATGTCAAATCACGTGTTTTATTGGCTCTATACTAGGTAAAGTTTCATAATATGAGTCAAATAACGTATTATTTGATATTTTTAAAAACGCAGGAATGCAGCAATATTCGTGCCTGTGTCATATACACGTTTAATAATTTTCAGAGAACAGACCAAAGGTCAACTTTTAAACAGAAGTGATCCAAACATGATAAAATCGACTAACTTCAATGCCGAAAATCCAACGAAAATTCTTGTACACGATTGGCTTGGAAGTTTTTTCCAGAAAGAATGCTTTTGCACACATATAGCAAAAGGTTTGTGTTTAGTTTATTCACGCTCGTAAATCTATACTACAGTGGACTATTTTTTWAATTTAATTTTAATGYGACTATGGTAAATCGTAGTGAATAGCAATATACTGACGGTGAAATCAGATCACTTTTTTCATACTATAAACGACATATTATTTAGGGCAATCTATAAATTTGTTRCTTAAATAACTATTTGTTCGCAGCTTATTTTAAGGTGGGACTGTACAACGTGATTTGCGTGGATTGGATGCAGTTCTCTTTTGATATCTTGTATGAATCGGCAAAAATCAATTCTAAATACATCGGTTATGATATAGCTAATGTTTTGAAGATTTTAACAAACAACATGAGCGTAGGGTCTGAAAATATTCATTTGATTGGTCACGGTTTGGGAGCCCATATTGTTGGTTATACTGGGAAAAAGTTAAGCGGTAAAATATCTCGAATAACTGGTAGGTTGCCTATCTGATATATTTTTTTTTTTAGAAATATAAAAGTCAAACGTTCTTTTATTGACTACATTATTTGTTGATAATGCATTTTTGCGACAAACATAGTGTTGAGAAACGTAAATTTAGATTTTCTTTTAGTTTTGAGTGTACCGTTCAGTTCGTAAAAGGCTCTGATTATATTAATTGATTTTKTTTAGTTATTAAACTATACAGAAAATGTTTTTATTGGACATGTTTAAGGATTAGATCCTGTTAGACCACAATACGAAAATATTGGTCCAGAGTACATGATCGATAAAAGTGACGCGAACTTCGTAGACATCATTCATACAAACGGAAATAGTCTCGGGTTGATCAAGCCGCTAGGTCATATCGATTTTTACCCAAACGGAGGAGTAGCACAACTGAAATGCAAAAAAGTAGATACAGGTAAGTGGGGTTTTAAGTAAAACGTGATGTTAATTATCAGTAGGGCAAAAATAGATCATTGYAATAATTCGAAAATAAATAGTTACCATTTAGGATCTAAATTTTAGATCACGCAACCAAAAAATAAATTATACAAAACTTAATATTCGATTTGATCGTAGCTATAGGTAATTAAAAATTATTGTTTCCAAGGTTTTTGATGTTCTGTTTATATTTTATTAATACTTCTTTATTACTTAGGTTGAGTAGTTAAGTTATTTGCTTGTTTAAAATAATTAATATTAAAGAAGTAGTATGTATTTGTATGTTCACAGCCAGCTTTTACGTGGTAAAAAAATTTGTTCAAGCGGGAATGTTCCGTTCCGAGAAAACTGATTTCTTGATTCTTTCTGTTTTGAAGTATTGGAAAAAACAAATCGATTTTTTGATATTTGATTTTGTGTAAAAATATCTCAATTTTTCTTAGTTTTTTGTCCTAACATTTTTGAAAACTTCAATGATGTTTTTTCCAGCCCCAATAGTATCAACTATAGATTCATTTTCCTACCAGAAAAGATGATAAAGTAGAAAATCGGATCGTTTCTACTGTCCCGAAACGTGATGATCTATGAGAAAATAATAAAACACACACATTATTGTAAATTATATAATGTATTACAATGCGTAAAACGTAGAAAATATTATTGGTAAATTACTATTGAGATTAGTCGTCTTAAATCAGTTTCAATCTTGTTGTCATGATTTTTGTATAGCTGAGTAAAGATGGAACATTTGGTTTTCTCAAATGTCGTTTTCCCTCATTACAGTTATTGGGGGAAAAAATCGTACCATTTATTGACATGCAGTGTTACCTATAACTTTACAACTCGAGGCGATTTTCAAACGATGTCAAACCAAAACAGCGCAGTAGAGAGTAATKATGGTGTGTATAGAGCTTATATTAAGAACTCGACCGTTATCGTTATACCTTATAGTTCATAGGTACGATCAACAAATTTTAATCACAAATATATTTTGGTACAATACTTACTGAGTAGTAYACCGCATCAATATTAATTATGGAACTATTAAATAGACTATTTAAACAGTGCAATAAATAATAATTAATTTTTTGAGATCGTTTCTAGCTTCCGGTGGTGCTTGCAGTCACGCCAAAGCTTTCGAGTATTTTGCTCACTCCATTTTGGTTAAAAACGATTTCAAAGCACTAAAATGTACTCAATGGAGCGAGTACCAAGAAGACAAATGTGGTGAATTTGTTGAAAGTACATACATGGGTGAACACGTGGACAAAAAGTACGTATGTTTTTTGATTTTCCAAAAAAAATATAAAATATAAACCGTAAYGCCGCCAGTGGTTTTTAACTATACAATGGTTCGCGATGTGTGATGTGTGTAGATACGCACTCTATACCTGCCTATATCCTATATATTATKATGAATTGATGACYTTTGAATAATAAGAACAAATTTATAATATTATCTTAAAGTTATTATAGTATGATAGCACATTTTTGGCAGCAAAATAACGAAAAGAATAAATATTTAAAAAAGATTAAAATAAAAAAATCTTATTAATTCTTTGAGTAGGTGTGCGTTAATTTGACACTTTTATTTATTCCAATTATCATCAAGTATATATATATATCTGCATAATATGGGTTTCGAAAAAMAAAATAATAACACCGAAACTGGTCAAAATAATTTATCGATATTCGAAGACCACTGGATTTCAYTGCGTAATAATATGTTACATAGATATAAAATTATTGATACCTACCTACATGGAAATGTCTTACCATATTATCAGTTTGAACTTTTATTTTTTTTTTAGACAAAATGGAAGTTATTTTTTATCGATCTGATTCAACTGGGTACTATATCATAATAAATAATTATTACTCAGTGGACGCGTTGGATCMGACACTTTKACCTGAACAAATATAATATAGAAGCATTGCAATTGAAATACCGGTTGTAACGACAATTGTAAACCGACATACGTGAATACGTAACCACTAACCGGTGTTGAGTGTTAATAAACAGTGTGATTACATATTATTTTTATTTTTATTTTTATCTGTGTATACCTAATATTAGATTGAAATTGGAGTCAAATTGAAACGCGATTGGACTTGGTAAATTTGGTTTCGACTGGAGCTCATCTGTAGCTGTAACCCCCGCACGAATTTGAATTTTTTTATTCATTAGAAAACAACGTTTTCATTATCTATCCTTAAAATTTTTAATACTTAATAACAATTATAGATAATACAGAATTTGAAATTAAATATATTTTTTAAATATTTGAAATTTCATGTATTTAATGACTGAAATAAATACAAGATAATTATGGTTGTTTGATACACAAAATTACAGAAATATATGTTATAGATTCTGAACGAAGTGATGAATGTATTGATTTTACA